GCCTAGGCGAGGGCTCCTCTTCAAGCAGCTGTCAGCTTCTGTGGCTCCCGATCAGAAACTGCTTGCAGGGCATTATGTTGTGCTCCTTTATGGGGAGCATTTGTGCCTCGTTGTGGAGGTGATGTTCGGGCGACATCAGGAGGCATCCTGTCGCTGTCCTGAGTGCGGTGTACAGTCTGTAGCTTCGTCCACTGCGTCCTACTAGTCCCCGGCGACCACACTGGCGCTGCGTAGTTTAAAATCGGCCGGCCTATTGCCTTGTATGTTGCCAGCAACGTTTATTTGTCTTTGCCCAAGTACTGCCGGCTAACGACTTGAGGACCTTGTTGCGGCTCTGTACTTTATTGACAATAGCGGTTGCGTGCGCAGAGAAGGAGAGCAGGCTGTCGAATGTTACTCCGAGTATTTTGGGATTATTCACCGTCGGAATTGGTGTGTCATCGACGTGAATTCCCAGCGGTAGCCTGACCTCCTTCGTCCAGGTTGTGAAAAGGGTCGCGGAGGATTTAGTAGGGGAGAGGACTAGACACTTTGCAGTGAAGAAGCGAGAGAGTTCGGAGAGGTACCCGTTTACTTTCGAACATAGGTTATCAATTCCATTCCCAGTCGCCATGATCGAGCAATCGTCGGCGTAATAGACAATCGAGACTCCCTCTGGTGGTTGAGGGAGCTTTGAAATGTAAAAGTTAAACAGTAGCGGGGAAAGGACACCACCCTGTGGAACCCACTGTTTTATTTTTCTAAGTTTACTCGATTTGTCTCTAAACATTACCGATTGGGATGATGAGAGTGGCCATAGACAAATTGAGGACCTCCGTTAGGTACGCTACCCCCGCAGGACCCAAATTTTTCAGCATCAGCATGCATATTCCGTCGGGACCCATGGCTTTGGAGGCTTTCGCCTTCCCGATGGCCACCTGAACTTCACCGCAAGTGAAAGCAAGGGGGGCACAGGTTGTTGGCAGTTTGTGCAGCCTTCTGGTCACTCGACGTTTGGCTTTGTCCACCGGAGGATGCAGTATGAACTGCCGGCTAAAATAGCTCGCGCATCGCTCCGGGTCCGACGAAGCATGGTCGCCGAAAGAAATTTCGACTCTGTCGTCGTGCTTCGTCGGATTGGGCAGTGACCTCACGGTTGACCAAAGCTTACTCACACCAGAGGTGAAGTTACAGGTCTTCAGATGCTCTTCCCAGCTTTTAGACGTCGTCGTTGTCGTTGTAGCAGCATACAAGCCCCCCAAAGAGTTTTTGAGGAGTGTTGCTGGAGTGACAGTCCTTGGCCAAATATAAATCTGGGTCGTTCCGGTTACGTAGACCCGACTGTCTTGGGAACGTTTTAGACGTCGTCATAGGGTAATCTGAACTTTGAATCCTGTGCCACACTTCAATCGGGACCGAAATTTATATGTGATATCTTCGGCAATGATAGATCGATTTTGGGTATTAGACGGAAAAAAATTGATTTTACACCCCGAGTGTCGACTAGCAGTAGATAAACGACTGTTAGTCGATTATCGATTATTCGTGGTATTTTCTCGTTCAATAAGGGAGTAAGAATAGTTTATACTCGCTCAGCCTTCTACAGAAAAACAGTTGTAGAAGGATGAGTGACTAAAAACTATTCACAGATGCTTATTGAACGAGAAATCGACATTCACAATACCACGGAGAGCGATGATCGAATAAGAGTCGTTTATCTACTACTAGTCGACACTCGCAATAAGGGTGTTAATTTTTTGAGTCTCCATAGAGGAATCTGAACTTTGCACCCTATGCGACACGTCTTAACCGTCTCCAATCGGGACCAAAATTTATATGTGATATCTTCAACTATAGTAGCATCGACCTAGGGGTTGAGGCTTAGGAAATCTGATGTAAAAATTTGCTCCCTACATTTAAGGACCACCCCAATGTGCATACATATGTATGTATTAGGGATGTTTCCAATGTCATATTTTTCACATTCGCGAATGCGAATGCAAATATTCGCAACATCCCTGGTATCTATGCATTATAAACGCCAGGACTGTGGAGAAACAGCTGATATTGCTAGGTCGCTGCACTTAGGACTCTCTTACTTAGAACCTAGGAGGACTCTCTGGGAAGACAATACCTGTAAATAATTGTATCATGACCATGCATTAAAGTACATTTAAAACACGATAATTATTTTTATTTTAAACTAATTTAAAGATGTTTATTTTTAATGTTCGGAAATATAATTTAAACTAAAACCACATTTGACATTCAATTACCATTACCATACGGAGCAGCATTACATTGATGCTGCAGTACTTTTTTTGCTTTTAAATTTTAATTCTTTTAGTTAGTTTTTTATTTATGTCAATGACTTTTAAATGGTTCTATTACCATTATGACATATTTTAAACTTCACTACTGGCTTTGTCTCTTCTATTTTTTGCAAGTTGTCTTTTTCATTTACTTAACTTCCATCGACTAAATATATGATGTTTTTTGTGATTCGAATTATTTTAGCAATTTGCATTTACTTAATTTCATTTTTAATTAAGTTAATTTTTTGTGCCGTAGTAGATTTTTAAATTTTGTGTAATTTGGTATTTTATATTTGCAAAAGGGCGTTTACAATATTTTTTACTATACGCTATGGTGCTTTGCTAGCGCTTCTCAAATACAGCGTTTTTGAACGGAAAATCATTTCAATTTGTTTTAGCTTAAAATCGAATTATTTTGTATTTTTTTTTAGGTTTGTATGTACGTGTTTTTGTTTGTTTTTTTTTCTTTTGTTGCATTTTCAGTCCATTACTTTCGCTTTCGTATGGTAATCAACGCTCGCTTTTTATATGCTACGTACATCAAGTGCTTTTTTTAATTTTTATTATTGGTTTTTAAATAAAGGTCTTTGTTGTTTTTTAGTTTGACTATTTGGTCAAATGGAAATGAGTATAATGCGTTGCAATTACTATTATGTACTAAGTTTTAAGTGAGTTTCTAATTTTGCATACACACATACATATGTGTGTATGTACATACATGTATGCATATTTGTTTGCTTTCCTTGTGTATAAACTAAATATAATTTTATGCAAGAAAAAGGCGACTTAAAGGTGACTTAAAGCATACGTGAAAATATAATAAAATTAATTAAAGTAAAAAGTAAAACAATAAAATAAGGCATTCAAATGAGTACAATATAAAAAAATACATTTTGGAATTCACAATTTCATACAAAAAATTATATGCTTTTGTAAAAATTACTTGTATTTTATATTTAGACACATAAATAAGATTTATATGTATAAAGTACGCAAGTGGCAAGTTGGTGAAACAATTCTGCAATCATTAAAGATTCGAGTGTTGTCGAAAACCCTTTACAAAATGTTGTTTTTAGTTTTTCCCTTTACCTTTGCTGGTTTCTTGTAAAAACATTTATCTTATGCTATACGTGTGTGTGTGTGTGTGTGTGTGTACGAAGTGTTTGTGTGTGTGTTAAGATTACTTTTTATATTTGCTCTTGGGCAAATGGCAACATAAATTCTGTACATTAAGTTTCTTTGCTTCGTACCACAAACAAAACATTAATTAAATTCTCANTACTTTTTATATTTGCTCTTGGGCAAATGGCAACATAAATTCTGTATATTAAGTTTCTTTGCTTCGTACCACAAACAAAACATTAATTAAATTCTCATATAAATTTACCACCTAACGAGGCTAAAACTTTTACTAAATTACAGTGTATGTATGTATATAAATATTTCTGTTATAACCAAATTTTCATCAATGGAATTGGCAAATTAAAGCTTCGTGTAAACACTATTTGAACATACTCGAGCGCAACTTTTACATGTGTGAGTATGTGTTTAGCCACTAACTGTATTTTGTGACTTCATTAGGATGGCGCCAAATACGATATAATACATAACCATAGTTTGTTTATAATTTAACATATATGTATATATAATTAATGTAATATAATTTAATTTAATTAAGTATGAAAGGCTTTTTCGCAATGTGTTTTTATTTTTATTTTTTGTTCAAATATTAATTTAATACATGCTGCATAAGCAGTTTTCCTTTTTCCTTTAAGTTTTAAGAGAAAACATATTTCAGGTACATTATAACTTAAATGTAAGTAACTTAAACGGCGTACACTTATTGGCAATTTAAATAATGGTAAATGTAAAATGAAATATAAAAAAAGATTGAAGCAAAACTGCTTTTCATTAGCTACATATGCATGTATGTATTTTCTATCTTATAAAAGTTTTTATTCGAGTGTGTCCGACCGCTTTCTTATGGCTGGTTATTTCTACCCATGGCCGCGCTTTTTCCTTATCCAAAAATTGTTTTTATGTATCTACTCAGTTATGTTTTATTTAAAACAAAAAAAATGGAGTGTTGATGAAATATTTAGGACTTTTTGAGTTGAATTTTGAAGCAGAGAAATCTGTGTGGCTGGAAGGCTTTTGAGCTCGCGAAAATTTGCGACAAATGAGACAAGCAGGGTTATGGCTTTGACGTGCATATCAAACTTATAGCTGAACGGAATACTAAGACGCTGAAAAGTGGTGATATGAAACTGCAGCAGAAAGTTTTATCTAAATTTTTAATTTTTTTTTTGGTTTTGAGAATTGGAAGCACTCGGAAAAAGTTGAAGAGACATTACTTGACCCAATAAATTTTGAAATAATTGAAACCACATTATCCTAAAATAAAATTTAATTTTAAAAAAGTATTTGTTATTCGTTGTAGAAAGCCATATCCCTCAAACTGGTTGTTTAAAAGGTCAACTCTCCAAACTCAAAACGATTTTTTGCATATTTCAGACCATTAATATTCTACGTCATAGATAGTATGTCGCAGTTGGTTACTTCATAGACATGCATGCCAAGCTTTTTGAAGCTCACTGTATATTTTTAAACCATACAGCTTGCAAATAATAAAATGCTTTTTGGGCTATAGGGCAAAAAAAATCAATTCATAAAAAACATTGCGTTTTGAATTCTCTTGGATTAATATTTTTTTTTTAACATTGAAAATCATTCTTAAAAAAAAAATTTGGTTAAGCCTAAATTAATTTTTGTTTTACGCGCATTGAAACATTGAATGCACATATTAAAGCCCACGCCCACCACTTGTAACTGCAATTTACGCGCCCACTAACTTATTCCAAGCTACTTGGGCTGGCCCAAGCAATCCACCCACATTACAGTTCGCATTTTTACATGCATGTGTGTCCATATGTTAACACTTCTACTACTTCCTCCTACTCCACTTTACGCCTTCAACGCCGCTTTTTTTGCTTTNTAATCCACCCACATTACAGTTCGCATTTTTACATGCATGTGTGTCCATATGTTAACACTTCTACTTCCTCCTACTCCACTTTACGCCTTCAACGCCGCTTTTTTTGCTTTTTTCGCTTGCTTCGACTGTTTCTTACTTCCCCTCTTTCGCTGCTTCTTTATCTTTTCATTTACCATTTTCACACTCCTCCTCCGCCCCTTGCTTTGCATGACGTCACGATGCTCACGCCAACAGTGAACCACCAAACTACTGCGCTGCTTGAAAGCTTGCTTGCAATGGCGACAGCTTGTTTTCACCACCCGATGCCTCCAGTATTTGTGCAACGCCAATGACCCCTTGGTGTGATAGTTGAATACGAGCATCGCGGCGGCGCGCTGCTTGTCTTGCGCACACGCACGACAACTCAGCTTATGATCGACCATGCGATTCAGGTATTTGTCGCGCAACATGGCTACTATTACCTCTGGTGGCGCGCGTATTTTCTTTGGTTGCGCCTGTTTGCGTGACGAACGCTTGTCGTGGGCGCTCTGACCGCCACCGGCAGCAGTCGGCGCAGCGGCGCTTTGTTGTTGTTGTGGTTTTTGTTTTTGCATGGGTGCAGCTTGTATGACAGAGACCTTTGCTGCTATGGGCGCCACCACTGCTGTTGCAGGCGTAGGTGGGAGCGTGGGCGAAGCGTTAAATGTCGTAGGCGCTGCTGGCGTGGGTGTGGGCATGATTGTCGCGGCCACGTTGGCGGCGTGCATAGGCTTCTTGCTAAAGTCCAGTGGCGCGGTGAGATACTGCTGCTGACAGGCCGCATCCGCCAGCAATGGCAACAGTGTGGCTATTTGTGATAGCGATTTGCGGCGCTTGCTGGGCTGTTGCTGTGGCTGTTGTTGTAGTGGCTGTGATGTCTGTATTTGCTGTGGAATGGTCGTAACAATGGGCGCTAGTGTCACAGCCGGCGTTGCTGCTGCCAGCGTCGAGTGCGTGGGGCTTAGTCGCTGTTGGTGTAGGTGCGAAACGGCGCTGGTATGCCGCTGCTTATGCGCGGCGGACACTTTGGGTGTGATGGTCAGCGTGATGTCCTCTTTGTTGCGCAAATATTCGATGTACTCCTCTGTCTCGCTAAGCATGCGCTTGCGGCGCGTTGGTGAGGGTTGCTGATGTTGTTGCTGTGACAGTTGTAGTTCCGCGGGCTGTTGACTGCCGTGTGGCGTCTCGGTAGCCGTCGGCATGGCCGGATACATGAGCGGCGTCTCCGCATAATACTTACTGATGATATCCTTGACATAATTTTGTATTTGTGTGCTAACCTTATTCAAATTCTGATATTCCATAGTGGTGAGGAATGTGGCAGCATTCTGCTTGTTGTTCTCTTTGTTGTCGCGATCAATGTGCGGCAGATCAAGACGATGTTCGCGGTTGTTGTGCGCGGCATTCGTTGCACGTTGGTTGAGCGTTCTGGTTTTCGTATGTTGGCTGTTGTTGTTGTTGTTGTTGTTGGTGTTGTGGTAATTTATGACTTTGTTGTACGCGGGAGGCGATCTAATAAGCTGCTGTTGATTTTCTTGATCTTCATCGTTGTCCAGCCGTTGGTATTGCTGGTATTTGCGCTTGTTGTTGTTGCTAGTAGCTGCTGCTGCCATCATTTCCATTACAGTTTCAGATGTTTCTTGCAGATCGAAATTTTCGCTCAAGAATGCCGACATCGCCTTTCTCTGCTCACTGTTGCCATAACTGCTGCCGCTGCCGCTGCCGCCATTGCCATTGCTGTGATGCATGGCTGCTGCTGTTGTTGCTGCTGAGTCAGTCGCATATTGCCGAACACTGCCTTTTAACGGCGAAGCGCCATCATCACTCGATGAGGTGGTCGATGAGGCAGACGAGGGTGTGTNTGTTGCACGTTGGTTGAGCGTTCTGGTTTTCGTATGTTGGCTGTTGTTGTTGTTGTTGTTGGTGTTGTGGTAATTTATGACTTTGTTGTACGCGGGAGGCGATCTAATAATAAGCTGCTCTTGATTTTCTTGATCTTCATCGTTGTCCAGCCGTTGGTATTGCTGGTATTTGCGCTTGTTGTTGTTGCTAGTAGCTGCTGCTGCCATCATTTCCATTACAGTTTCAGATGTTTCTTGCAGATCGAAATTTTCGCTCAAGAATGCCGACATCGCCTTTCTCTGCTCACTGTTGCCATAATTGCTGCCGCTGCCGCCATTGCTGTGATGCATGGCTGCTGCTGTTGTTGCTGCTGAATCAGTCGCATATTGCCGAACACTGCCTTTTAACGGCGAAGCGCCATCATCACTCGATGAGGTGGTCGATGAGGCAGACGAGGGTGTGTTCTCATCATCCTCACCCGTCGAATGTTGTCGCTGACGCATATGACCGTTGGTATTGCTGTTGTTGTGGTGCTGGTGGTGGTATTTATTGCGCTGATGTTGCTGCTGCTGCNCGGCGAAGCGCCATCATCACTCGATGAGGTGGTCGATGAGGCAGACGAGGGTGTGTTCTCATCATCCTCACCCGTCGAATGTTGTCGCTGACGCATATGACCGTTGGTATTGCTGTTGTTGTGGTGCTGGTGGTGGTATTTATTGCGCTGATGTTGCTGCTGCTGCTGCAGATGTTGCTGATAGTTGTTGGCAAAGTTGCTGTTGTTGCTTAGGGAATGGAGTAGCGCCGCAGCCTCTTTGGTCGTCCATTGTGAAGGCAGTTTATTATTGAACAGGAGTTGATGATTAGCTGGAATTTTCAACTCTTGCACGCCTCCCGCCTTATGAAAATCCTGAGCGACTGAAGCGGTGTTGCGACTGATTGCGTCCATTTTAAGTAAACTGTAGTTGTGGAAAGAGATAGAGGGAGAGTTAGAGATTAGAAAGCGTGTCCTTAATTAAAAATAATTATTTAACAAATAAAATATTTAAATAAAAAATGTATAAAATTAAATTAAATAAAAAAATAAACAAAGAATAAAGTATAATGAAAACAAATAAAAATAATATTTTTAGTGACAATACTTTTTTAAACTAATTATTTTTTACTCAAATTAGTTGTAACTGTACATATGAGATTGTGAGAGCAGAAAAGGCGTAACCCACAATTTTTTTTTATTATTTTATATTAGTTTCCCATCTTAAATATTTTAAAATTAAAGAATATAATTGTAGGGTACTCTACATACATTTGCACCTTAATATAAGGAAATCAACGACTATTACTTTAAAATTTTTCATAGTTGAAACTACTTCAAGAAGTTTAGTAAAAAAAATATGGGTTAGGCCACTTCTGCTCTCACGGCCTCATATGTATGTACTTTTCAATTTTTGTTAGGCATAAATCATAAAAGAAAAAATTTAGTTTTTAATGTTCTTTTTTTAAAGGCGCTTGTGTTTTGATTTTAAAGAACAGAAAAGAAAAATACTATAAAAATCGCTAGAATGCAAAGAAAAACATATTTATAAGAAATTAATTAGAATACGGGTGTGACCAAACGAAAGACTGTGAACACAAACTTGATGGAGTCACATTAGACACACAATAAATTGTACAAGTAAAATCAAAAAAAGTTTGATATGACATTTAATTTTTGATTTATTTTACCGCGCATAGTCTTCCGGATCACTTCCGTCTGCCTCAAGATATTGAAATAAACGTTCTGAGCCGCGTTTTTGTGCGGCCGCATTGGGCAAGCCGCCCGTTAGTAGATCGTGTGGTGGTATTAGCGAACCATTGGCGCTCAAACGCCACCCCACCATCGAGGTGGGATTTACAATGATTTCCTGTAGTGGACCGCCGGTTATGTTACCGCTGCCATTATCATTCGTTGTTGTTGTGGTATAAATGGTTACCGAACCACCGCCACCAACATTGCCGCCATGATTGCTGGAAGTGGATGAGCCACCGCCGCCGCCGCCACCACTATGAGTTGTATGACTTTGAGCAGAGAGCAGGTGTGATTTTTTTTTTTAAGGAAAGAAAATTGTATTACAGCGAAAGAAAATTAAAAATTTATGAAACAACTTTCGATTTTAAGCTAAAAGTGCAAAATCTTGGGGCCGGGGGGAGATATTGGGATTTAAAAAGTAATAAACTGTTGTTTCTATTCTTTTCTATGTGTAATTGAACTATTTTGCTTTTGTTTAACCTCACTTTAAAGTAATTAAGGAGTTTCGCTACTTTTTTTTTATTAAATATATGAGTACTTAATTTAAACAAAAACATTTTTTTTTTTAATTTTATTATAAGCTGCATTTAATTTAATTTTTTTCGTTAACTTCATATTTTAACCACATTCCATTTTCCCTTCTCTAACTGTAGCAAATGATTAGCTGTATTAACTGTTTTTTTTTTATTTACCAGTATGCCACACTCGAATTTGGATATATATTTACACTGGCATTATTCGTTATTAAAGTGTTGCCAATTGTACGCAAAACGTTCGAGCTCGAATCGGAATTCGACGCATTGCCGTTACTTATAAAGTTATTTGTCGAATTTTGATTGCCTCGCGCTGGCCGCGTGTCGTTGGGGCTGCGAGCACGAGGCGAGGTAGAAAGCACAGAGAAGAAGAACAAGAATTCCAAATACATATTAGATTTTCGAAAATTAGTATTAAAAGCTACTGCCTACTTTGTTAGTTTTACTACGTAAGACTTAAGAGCTAAATGTTAGTGGGAGTTATTTTATTAGGTTTTGCTGTGGATGACTTCTACTTTTGAATTATTTAGCAAAGCAATTAGTATTAACCAACAATACACTTATGTTAATTATAATCACAATAGATACTCACTGCACTTCATTGATGTGCGCCTGAAACTCCTCTTGCGTGTCGCCAAGGAAGGAGCACTTGTTGCATGCGCGCTTATTGTGCACCTTCAGCACATGCGTGGCCAAGCGTTCGGAGCGCGCGGCTTTATAGTCGCACAGCAAGCACACAAACGGTTTTGTATGCGTATTCAGATGACGCTTCAAGCCCCACTTATCCGCGCCAGACCAGGGACAGTAGCAGCAGGTGAATCGTTTCTCACGTTTCGGCTTAAGATTGCCAGTGGGGGCGCCACTGTTACCAACAATGCCACCATTGTCAATGTTGCCGCCACCGATGCCAACGCCGACACCACTACCACCAACAATGTCATCTTGCTTCTCCTGTTTGAGTTGTGGTAATGGCGCATCAGCGGCCGTTGCCACCGCTTCAATGGTCTCCGCAATGCTCATGATCGATGATGTGGGCTGTCGTTGCGTCTCCAGGAATGCATTGTCCAGTTGTACGTTCGCGCCCTGGAATATGATGTTGGGTTTTTGCTCGGGTGAGCCACAACTGATGTTCGTATTGTTTGTGAGTTGAGTATTTACCGCTGTTATGGTGACGTTGCCACGTCCGCCGGCATGGTGATTGCCGCCGCCGCTGTTGGCCGTGTTCGACGAGGGTACGTGACGCCGCGTCTTATTTATGTCGTACTGTAATTCGCGATGCATGCGCAGGAAATGCTTCTTCACGTGATCGGCCCGATTGAATTGCTTCAGACAAGCGAAACACTGAAAGGGCTTCTCCTCTTTGTGTATGTTCTCGTGACGAGTGTAGAGATCTCGTCGATCGGTGGAGTAGGGACAGTGAGTGCAAGCGTAACGTTTTTGCACTTGTACGCCGCCGTTGTTATTGTTGGCATTGTTGCCATTTTGGTGGTTGTTATGCGACGAGTTGTTGTTGTGGGACTTCTTGCGACTGCTGCCGCCACTTGAACTGGTGGCCGCACCAGCATTCGACGATGATGTAGGTGCGGTCTGTTGTTGGGCCTGACCGGAATTCATGGTGTTGCCGGAGGTCGAGGGACTAGTGTAGATCACTTCGGTGGTGGCGTCGTTGCGGTTTTTGGACCTGAAAACAGAGTAGAAAATGAGGATTAATGTTGAATGTTTTGAGTATAAAGTGAGGTTAAGATAATATAATAAATCATATAAAAAGAAAAAAAGTATGTATAAATATAATACAACTAAATAACAAAAAGCAAGAGTAAGATAACATAAAATATATAATCATTTATTTTGGAACGAATTTCTGTCATCCCTTGTCAAGTTTGGTTTGCGTTCGATTTCGGCGTTGTGCCATCTTCAGTGTAATTTTTCGTTCGTAAAATATATAAAATAAGATAGATAAGATACAATAACATAAGTAAAGATGAGACAAGAAAAGATATAATATATAAGCTAAGGCAATATAAGATAAGATAAAATAAAATATATAAGATAAGACAAGATAAAATAAAATAAGATAAAATAAAGTAAGATAGGATAAGACTGGATATGTTAAAATAGGATAAGAAAAGATAAAATCAAATGCAAAAATTGAAAAAAAATCATACACATAATATGCACGATGTAGTGAACAGAAGGTGGCGTATTTCGAAAACGGATACTACTTTGGTTTTGCCGATTTTTACAGTTCTTGATGTTCGTAAAAAACGCCTCAAAAACTATAAATGCACTGAAATCCACCAAGGCGAATTAATATAAGGTGGTGTTACTAGCTCAGCTGATTTTGTGTATGTGTTTCGCCGCACGGCTTCTGATATCAAACTGAAAAATTTTCTTTGAATTTCTACACACACTCTTACAGATTTTGACAGTTTATGCCGCCAAAGCAAAAACAAATACATGTAAATTTTTGTTTTTGTACTCCTGCTATCACCTTATATTAATTCGCCTTGGAAATCCCCTATACTTTCACTAAAATCACAGTTTTTTTACATTTCCTTTATTAATTTTTATTACAAATCATATATTTTCACAATTTAAAGCAATTAAAACACGTAAACACATTTCCTATCGAAAAATGGAATATTAAGATAACTGATTAATCTCACATTCTCTTTTATCCTCCTATTCGGCTTCGCTACTTTTTACTCACAAATGTCATCGCCGTCGGGAATGCGCAATCTTGTATTCTACCATTCTTGCAGAATATGTAGTAACAATATTTTATTTATCTAAATAAAAAAAAAAAATAACGGAAACAAATGAAGAATATTTTCCTACATAAGTCACTCAAATTAATTCAATAAAGCAGCTCATAAAATAGGACTTTCAGCGGTCCACCATTTTGTGATTTTACCTAACCTTAAAGTTGCACATTTTGACTCAATTCATCAGTTTCATCTTCTATTACCGTTTTTTGACCCAAACTGAAATTGCTGGGCGGTTTCGAAATGCGGTAGTACTCAAGTGACTCTCACAACTGAGTTATTTTATATTTTTATTTTCCCACAAATGAATATATATGTACATACGTATGTATTTTCATTCGAAATCTCAAGCGCATTTGACTCTTCCAGTTTTTCAACCGCACGCAAACAATGCAACGCATTCACACCGTCACTTTTGTGCCCAAGTACTGCAATGGTAAATGGGTGTGGAACAAAAATCTGGAGCGCATTGAGTTCGAAGACACCAAAGATGCCGAATTGGTGAAGGAGGACTATGTAAACACGTGTGGCTTTAATTTCAGCAAGACTGTCAATCAACTGGAGGAACTGATATTTCGTCAGGAGTTTCAGCGCTCCGATCTCACACACGACGCCGACGTCATACTTGTGCAGGACATAAAAAACGTCGTGCTCTTCCTGGCGCCGTCCGAAATCATCACCAAGGATTTCATATATTTTCTGCACACCTTCACCGTCGATCGTTTTCTGCGCGCACTCATCATCTACTTCGAGTACTATCTGAAAATGGTGGAGTTTGTACTGATACGACGGGATGAGATTACCGGCGACAAGGCGCAAATACAAAGCGAAGACACCAACGAAATCAAGCGCATATACTCGGAATATCTCACTCAGCATCGCCTGCTGCTGGCACGTGAATATAGCACCATAATAATGGGCGAGGGCGAGATGAAACGCTTCTACCACATCACGCCAATCGTTAACATCTCGCAGTCTATAAAAGATAAGCGCTTTTACGAAACTTTCTTGGCATTCTCAACGCAAGTGGTGTGGATTGCCATGCATCGTCGCGCCTATGACTACATCGATTTGGAAATGTATCGGCTCTTTCGCTCGGAGCACTTCAAACTGAAGCGATATGCGCACATTAACTTCACCCAAGCCGAGGCCAACATGCTCTACGGCAAGAACTATAAGCGTCGCAATTACCGCACACAAAACTCGCCACTGATACAGGAATTGGCAAATGTGGCAACGGAAAATTTGCCTATATTGTGGATTGGTGAACGGAAGTATCGCGGCACTGATCTGCGCGTTCACCAGCTGGAGCTGGAGTACATTGTGCCCGATAGTCAGCTGATCTTGATCGACACATGTCACGGCATACTCGGGCATCCGAAGAAAATCTACGACACCATTTTGAACATGAACTGGGAAGCGGTGCGTTTTCAAAACTACTCGGAAACCTATGATCCATATCAAATAAAGCGCCAGCCCGCACTGAAGGTACCCAGCATCGATGCGGAAAAAATGCGCAAGTACGCACAGGAATTCGACACTTACTACCATGTGCGCATGCAGTATGAGCGCGTGAGCAAGGCGGTGATAGATAAGTGGTGTCGACGAGATGAGGTCATTGAGTACTTCTCCGCAGAGGACATGATAACCAATATTGTAACAAAATGCGAGCGGGAACTGCAACGCGATTCGTATGGCCCTAGTGTGCAAGAGATAACGGACAAGTTTTTGGAACGCAAGAAATTACTGCGAAAGCAATAATAGAAGGTGGAAGCACAGAAAAAAAAAACATAAAAGAGAGGAAGGGATGAAAAAGCAGTAGACAAGGGCATGCTGTTTCTGGATACATTTTCAAAAATGCAGATATGAAAGATAGAGTTTAGTAGGTATTTTTTTATGGAACAGCTTATACAAATTTGAGGAATATATTTTTTTAAAAACCTTGTTGGAAAATTAGAAAAAAATGTGCATCAAAAATCGAAAATAAATGCGACCGGATACTGGCTCTTAAGGCTCATAAGTTTTATTTAAGAAAATTTGTTTCATTCCTATTTTTCTGGTACAAGAAATGCGTTTGATTGACTCTAGATACTAGAGACTCTTGCAGACTTCAACCTTCACATGTGTCCTACGATGCCGACGAGCACCATATTAAACATGAGATAATGGTCCTAAATGATTTCTAAGAAGGCACCTACTCTACTCAATACAGCTATCTGATTGGTGTAGTTTTCTCTAGTGGATTCTACAAGACGCGGACTCCATAAAACTTTTTAGACTAGACTATGATTTCATGCCCCATTTCCTACCAATTACCTACCCCTCCTGCAACAGCGGAGAGCTCCTAATACCTTCTCTACTCCCTCGCCCGCTTCCACGACATCTTGAGGAAATATACAAAGCTTTTTAAAAACTCCATAGATAGATATTAAAACGAGGAGTGCATCGCGACATAGTGATGTATTGTGCCCTCTATTCTTCACAATACTTATTCTAAACCTAGCTCTCTCTGAAAGCTCAACAGCGCTATTGGGCGTCTTCTGTAGAGAGAATCACACTCGACAAGAATATGTAGCGGTGTCTCACTGGTCAAGTCGCAGCACCGACAAAGATCAAGAGACCATATTCCTAGCTTATACAGATGCCCTCTTGGTCAGCCGTGTTTTGTAAGGGTGCCTTTTAGTATTGTAAGCTTCTCTTTTGGGCGGAATTGGTAATCTTCCTGTTGTACCTTCCCAGTAAACTCTTTACTTGACGCAATCCTTCCGAGTTATGCCAGTTCAGATTCTTAGACGTGTTCCTCTCCTTCCTGAGCTCCCCCTTAATAGTATTGGGACAAGAAAGGTCTAAGGGCCCTATTGTAGACACGGCTGCGGCCTCTCTTGCGAGACAGTTCACTTATTGTTCTTAGTCCTTAGTCAAGAAAAATGTTCGGTAGGGTTGCCAGTTTTTTTCGCACTGAATGGGATTCAAATAAGAGTAATAAAAACTCACGCATACATCTACAACTTTTACCCCAATATTTTTTTCTTTGTTCGTGCAAATCGTTCTACGGTAATAAAATATGTATTTTTTTTTTAGAAAATTTATGGAAACTCGCAAGTATGAATAAAATTTTCTCCATATAAGCGCGCTGTTCCAAAAAATGCGCTATGGAATGTCTTAAAAAAATGAATTTAAATATCCTATATTGTTCTCTTTAATTCTTGAAATTCGAGGTTTAGAATTTGTTTTTTTTTTTTAATACAAAAAAACGATCATTCCTAATAAAATATGAATTTACTATAAGTAGTAAATTTATTTTTTATTTGGTCGACGAATCAAAAAAACAAATAAATTTTATTTATGATTTGATTCTTCAAACCATCAACAAATTTATATTATTAAGGATTTGATACCACTTTTGATTCAAAAATCAATTTGATACATGCTATTATTTCATCTACTTTTTCTAAGTTTTTACTCGTTCAAAAAATCGTTCTACCATAATAAAATATTCGTTTTCAACATGCAAAAATTTTGCAAACAAATTTTTATAGAATATCTTAAAAAAAAACTCAATGAAATATTCGATGTTGTCAGGTTCTGAAAATCACTCGGAACTGAAATTCACTTCCGAGTGAATTTCAACAAAAGGCACTATTAGAAATTCGAGGTTTCAAACTATTTTTTCTCCATTTGAATACCACTTTTACAGATACAGAATTTTTAATTAATTTTTATGCAAGAGATTAAACCGCTTCTTCCTAATAAAAAACGAACTTATATATATATACATATGTAAGTATGAATTCGCTCAAAATACACACTTTTAAGGCCACTTACTTTGACTTAGATGTGCCAACTTGTTGCTGAAGCTGTTGTTGCTGCTGCTGCTGCTGTTGTTGTTGTTGTTGCTGCTGCTGTTGCTGTTGTTGAGTGGCAGCCGTATAGCTTTGTAATTTACCACCTGTTGCCGTTGGTGTTGTCCACTGTACGATTTGTGTCTGTTGTTGTGGTTGTTGCTGCTGCTGTTGCTGTTGTTGGTCCGTACCAGCGGTGCCAGTGGCGCCGCTTGTGGTAGTAGCAAAACCATTTTGCATTAGCGCCGCCAGACCAAATGCCGTACTCAAGTGATCTTCCGATTTGAAATTACCGCCTGTTGTTGCTACCACCACAGAACCTTCGGGTTGTTGTTGGATAACAACATTTGTCGCGCCAGCAGCTGTTGCCACTACATTGGCCGCTGCATTAGCTGCCATTGCGGCATTGTTGTCATATTCGATGGTGGGTGCAGCGCTGCGATCGATCTGCTGTAGAAGGTGCAGCGGCGAAGTGCAGATGATAAAAGGAATGAGAAGACAAAACAAAAGAAGAGAGATAAAAATGCGATAAGTAAAAAGGGGCAGTGAGACATTGTAGGCATATATACATACATACATACATATGTACATATATTTGTGCCTGTATGGGTATTTTGCTGCAGTGAGTCAGCCGCAAGCATTCGACTTACCAAATTCGTGAATGAACGCTCGCCTTCGGGTGCTGTGGGCCCAGTGGTCGCCACCTGCGCAACCGGTGTGCCCAATGTATGCAAACCATTTCCGGTCTCTTCCCCATATAATTTTCTTGTGATTTCTTTGAACATATCTTCATAAGCGGCCTCAACATTTGAGGACGGTATTAATGTTGCCATAGCTTATAGAATGCGCTCTCTGCAATGCTGCTACAACTACTACAAATACGGGCCGCCACAAACTGCAAGAAGAAAAGAGAAGAAAGGGATAGCGGCTTAGTAAGGTATTCTCATATGTACAGGATGACAAGATTAATCAAATTGCATATACATTGAGCAAAGAGAGAAAGAAAAAATAGTCATACTACATCCGCTTCGCTTAAATTTTTCCACTTCTACCCTCTTTGCGGCTTTTTGCAATTTTTTTTAAATTTTTTTTGTTCAATCTCTTTGGTAGGTACATAGTTACCCAAATGGCTTTTGAAAGTCCAGCCATTAACGAACGGCGTATAAACCCCATCTGCCCATTTTTGTGGCTTGTCATTTAGCCTTGTTTTTACTTTGTGTGTGTGTGTGTGCATGTAAGTGTATGTATTCATGCGCCACTTTGTGCCACTCAGGGCGCGGGCGGGCGAACAAAAGTTAAAAGTTACCAACGACAGCTGACTGACATTTCCAGGAATACCTACGCTGCTGCTGTTGCTGATACTTGATGCGCTGCGTCAAGGCAACACTAACAGCAACAACAATAGCAATAATAATAAAATTGAAAAAAGCACAAAACTGCAGTTTGCGTTAAGTGAATGGGAGAGTAGGTAGGTAGGTAGGGTACCCACATACATATTTGTCGGTGGTGGTGGTGATGGTGCTCGTGTTGCTGATGCCACTGGTGGCGATGGTTGATGTTGGGATGGCAGTTGCTGGCATTTCTGTGGAGATAAGGCGAACATAGCGACAGACAAAACAGTCACATTCCCCAGTGGGAAGCTGAGCACCTATGTACATACGATCTACAGCCAATACGCTGACTCATCATTCATAATTGTGGTGGCTGATGGGCTACCTATCCCCCTCTAAGATTAGCTGACGAAAGATGAACGCGTCTCATTCCAAGTGTTGGACACCCACTCAAAGGTGTATCTACACATTTAAATAGTTGAAAATTGCGAAGTGCTGAATGCAGCACAAAGCAAAATAAAATAGTTGGCTTATATTTATTGTACTGCATGTACTATGTGCGCATGAGCGTGTGGAAAGAACGCTGTTGTTGTAGTGAACGAGTTAATTGAATTCTGCTACAAATTATGAAAATACCCTGAGGACTCTAAACGTTTCGCGCGCGCTCTCGGATCCGGATCAGGAACGCCTTTGGATACGCAATTTCGAAGTACCGGAAGAGTTACCACTAACATTGAAAAAGAAAATTGCACGGAAAGAAACTCTATCGAACTGGCAAAATGCGATGGGTAGGTATTGCACGGTAGGAGGTTTAGTGGGTTAAAGTCTCACACTGACCGGCTATACAGGCTTTCGATGCTTCCTCCTCATACAAAAAGGTTACAGCGTTATCTTAAAGAGACTACTTTCTGATACGAATTTCCTACCAACAATATAATACCAAAAGCGGTGGATGGAATTAAGGCCACCTTCTCTTTTCTCCGGCGGCCTTATTTCACTTTTCAAAATGCCTGCGCAAAAATACTGTGAATGGCGGAGCCGGTGTTTGACTGATGAGGATTATTTTTTTACTAAACCCCGAATTAAAATTTTTTCTGCCAGGAGTCTGTAGAGGGCTCAGAGGGGGAAGGGCAACTTTTATTAAAGCTTAGACTCTGTTCTTTCTATTGGGTGGGGTTTTAGGTGCCACACCCGTTCCGCCATCCACAACAAAACCATTTTACAAATAACCGAACATTTCCCAATTCATTTTTCGATTGTTGCTTAGTTTCAGTTTTCAGAATGAATTAAAATTCCCGCGCGGTCTAAGGCCATAATTCNGCATCCACAACAAAACCATTTTACAAATAACCGAACATTTCCCAATTCATTTTTCGATTGTTGCTTAGTCTCAGTTTTCAGAATGAATTAAAATTCCCGCGCGGTCTAAGGCCATAATTCACAGAGCTACCAAAAGCCATACCAAATTTTCAAGCCGCAGTGAATTCTGGGAGCGATCCAAGGCTTGGAGAGCATGCCCGGAAGCGAGAACGTAAGTGCACATTTTCTCAGATAGTCAGGCGGCAGGTTAGGCGCTCTCTTCTTCCTCGCCTAGATGGCAACTTGTCGAGGACTGAAGGAAAGAGTTGGGCACAATTTCTGATCAAGACGTAATTATCAGCGACAGCGCATGACAACATATCGACTCAACTGAAAATATATTGAAAATATGTTGAGATAGGGCGTTTTTGAACGAATTTTGAAATAAGGCGTTCTTCAATCAAATTTTGAGATACGGCGTTCTTGAAAAGTTTTCTGAGAAACGGTTTTTTCAGACTGGCTGCCGAGATAGGTGGATCTTCCACTCCACTTCCACATAGGACAGCGGATGACTGAACTAGCGAGGTACGGCTTTGCACAAAAAAAAAAATATCCCACGCGGTGGATATGGGCGCCGCGCTCGTGAAAATCAAAAGCAGAATTAGTACCGAAATTTACCACTCGAAAGTTAAGCAGGTGTGGACCTGTACAGGATCGTCATGCACCTTAAATCAAGGCTCACATTAGCAATAAGTAAGAAATGGCCCGCATACTTTTCAGCAGATTCTGCCACAGCTGCAAGGACTTGGACTCAAAGCACGCAGTTGAATACTTTATCGGCGAGTGCACGGCCCCTGCAAGAGTGAGGGCGGCATAGCTGCGAAATATTTGAAAAAAATTTGCCATATTATCCCACAATAACTTAAGACCTGTCCCGAAACTATGTATAAAGTCGTGTTCAAGTCTTTTCTAAGAAATTGAGCGGAGTTATCATTTTCACTGAACTACTCGAATCAAATCGATTATCTGTCGTAAGATACCCAACAGATCCTATATGCTGCGCATGCGCACTGAACCCAACTAACTTCACCAAAAAAAACACACACAATTCCTCAAACGCAAACGAATTTCACCACTACTTTTTATGACACCCCTTAAATCGCATACCTTTTCAATCAACACCAAAATCAGCGCCGCTGAAAAATTCCTTCCCCGAATTCCAAACACCGCGCGCACATACATGCATACATACAAATCTTCAAAAAAGCACCTACATTTTCAGCTCAGGCAATCAGACCATTAGCAACAGCATGTAGGACGGATAAAAATGAAGAGCCATTCACTTTGCACGCCATAAACTCGGAAGACAAATTGTCAATGGGTTACGTGGCTCACAATGTCTCCGTTTGCAACGGATTTCGATGCTCACCGATTCATACACTGCACGAGCGCGCGGTACAGCTTGTGTGTACATTAGGGTGAGTCGGAATTTCATCCCTTAAGCTTGTTCTATACCGAAAAAATACACTTCTGACTTTTTTTTTATTTCGAAATCAAAAACTATTTAGAGATCGCTCAAACCGCTCAAACTTTCCCGTGTCTATTATATAAAAAAAAAACTATTTTTCGTAGAAATGGTATAGAATTCCTGAAAACAAATATGTTTTGATCGCGAACTCCGTTTCTCTTCAGGAGACTACCAATAATAATACCCAATTGTTTATTTAACCATCTTTTGATTTCAACTTTTTTACAGGTTCCAAAAACCCCAAAAAATGCAATGTGGAGACCCATAAAAAATCGCTACTATTTAAAAATGATAAAAATAAACAATTGATTACACTATGCGACAGTCAAAATCGGGATGGGATGAAACCAACGGGAAATGTTATATCGGTCAAAAACAAGTTATACGTGTCCCGGCGTTTCGCTGGGTCACGTCTAGGAATCGAGATATATATATAACTATCATATAGGGGAAATTGTCACCTTTGGTGGTCTTTTTTTGACATAACTCGAGAACCACTAGTCCGATTTTGCTCAAACAAATTTAAAAAAATTAAAAATTACAATTCCTTTAATCTGTTCATATAACGTTTTTCTATATAATCAACAGTTTTGCCGGTAAAAATAAATGTATGAAGAAAAAAAATATTTTTTGCCTAAAATATTAAATTTTTTTAAAACTGTTGATTATATAGAAAAACGTTATATGAACAGATTAAAGGAATTGTAATTTTTAATTTTTTTAAATTTGTTTGAGCAAAATCGGACTAGTGGTTCTCGAGTTATGTCAAAAAAAGACCACCAAAGGTGACAATTTCCCCTATATGATAGTTATATATATATCTCGATTCCTAGACGTGACCCAGCGAAACGCCGGGACACGTATAACTTCTTTTCTACCGATATAACTTTCCCCGGTAGTTTGAACCCTTCCCGATCACTGACCCCTACCATTTGTCTCACAGTGTTATCTATTATTGAAAGTCTCCTGAAGTAAAACAGAGTTTTCCGATCAAAAATATTGATTTCCAAGAATTCTATACCATTTCGACTAAATGTTTTTTTTTCATATAAAACACATGAAAAATTTTGAGTGATATCTAAATATTTTTTGATTTCGACATAATTAACCGGGGGTGTGAGCATTAAAATTCCGACTTTACTTTTATCGCATGTATTTTTGAACCACCCTAGTGTATATATACTCTGTTTTTTATTATGGTTGCCGGCACTCTTTTCAATGCTTGCATGGCCATAGTGTTCAGCGTCTGCGCCTGCTTTGACTGGTTCTTGTAGTGCACCGCCGCCGCTGCTGCTGATGCCGAAGCCTCTGCCGCCAAATGAGTCAGAAGACCGGTGGAGATTGAAAGTAAAGACGCCATAGTCCAACAAAGCCGTGGAGCGATCACTTTTATTTTTAGGCTTGCATTTTTAATGTTTCCTTCGTTCAACGAGTTCTTGTTTCTAGCTTAACCAAAGAAATAGGTAGAGTCTTTCACTAAAGCAAGTTGAAAATGAAGTCAGGTATCTCACTTTGTGTCCTCGATGCAAGCGCCAACTTGTTACTGCGCTGATTTGAAAAAAAAAATACATATGAAAAAAAGTAGTTTATGTCTACCTCATCTGCAACGGCAAGACGCATCATCGCACACAAAGTGGGTGGATACGAGTTGATAGAAAATATTAAAGCTTGTAACATGCAAGAAAAAAAAACAAAAGGCGAGCAACGAAAAACGGTAGACGAAAAAGCGCGCCAACT